TTTAGCCAGTGAACAGGTTTGAAATTGGTCGATTCCTGTAATCTTCCCCCAAGTAATCTCAGAAGTAAATTAATGGACCTTGGGGGTAACCGAGGTTGGAACGTGAGTTACTGAAAAGTTATACACTGAATAAAACTCCATACATCAAGTTCTAAGTAGGTGTTCTTTTATTTTAGACCAAATTTTCCTTCAGAAAAATGAAAGTTAAAGTGGACCAGATGACACAGCCTGCTAAAGGATGCTGTAATAATAAATTGGATACTAGCCAGTAGTTCTGATGATGGCAATCTAAGGAGATTAGAATTTCAAGGTGGAGAATAGGTTTTGTGCCAGAGTTTACCTTTTTTAATAGGAGGGGAAAAAAAAAAGGATCATTCTTGAAGTCCTTACTGCAATTATACCTCTAACTTTCACATACTCTGAAATCTAGATTTAAACCATCCTACAAATGCTGGATACGTATGTATTCTGCTCACAGAAAGCGCTCGTCATCATATAAATTGCTAAATACCTGCAAGTTGCATAGCTAGACTACATTTCAGGGATGGGAGAAAATACAGAGAAAACCCAAAAACTTCAGTGAAATATCAATATTTGAATTAAAAAAGAAGCATATATGTTACATATATGCATTTAAGCTTGGGAGCTCTTCTAGCTGCATACTGTATTTCTTCCATTTTCTTGAAGCTTGATGACAATGAGTGATCAATATAATAGTGAGAAAGGCAGAGATAAATTTAATTTCATTTCAAATTCTAATGTTTAAAGATATTTTTGTCATGCCATTCATGTCATAGCCTGCCTATCCCACTAAGATGTCATCTTGTGATATCCAGCTACTGCAAAGATTTAAGTTCATAGGAATGCCTGTTGGCTTTGTTGGCAGGGCAGGGAATGGGGAGGCAGAGAGGGAAGAACATTGCTTTCAGGCGTAGATGTTAACTCAAAGAAGGATTTAATGGAAGAGGAAATTTGATTTATAGGAGAAATTCTCATCTCAATAAATTACATTTATGCATTGAACAACGTAGTCATTTTGGATTCAGTCTGTATGTAGGCACAGGTGTCTGATTATTTAGCGTATGGAATATAATCATGTTTGCTACCATATTACCCGCCTGTAATTAATTTAGGAGTGCTCTGCTTTTTTGGGGAAAAAAAAAATCTTTTAGCTCTTATCTGTTTCACTTCTCTGCCTTAGCTGCATTTCTCAGTAATGGCTGACTATCTGGAATCTAACATATCAAGTAAGGAAAACATAGTGATCTTGTCTCACCCAAAGCCTTACAAGGGACAGAAAAAATAGCTTTCAGAAAAAAACACACCCATTTCCAAACTTGTTTGTTTATAGTGTTGAATTTTCTATATAGGTTGCCTTACCACTTTCATCTCTAACAACTTGTCTTTATTTCTAAGTTGACCTGTTATTTAACTGTTTCCACAGGAAATTTTAAGTCCTGTATGTATTAGTGTTTAAAATGCAAATTAGCTGCCTTCTGACCACAAACTCCTTGTATCTAGGCTGGTAAAAAAAAAACATTTTGTAGTAAAGACAGAGACAGACAACTTTCCAGCTGGTAATCCCTTGAATACCTTCTTTGCTCTTGATAGAAAAAAAACATCACAAGAGAGAATCATATATTATGAAACAAAGCCAGGCCAAACAAGCACAGATTTGACCCTCAGAGTCTTAGTAGTACAGATGAGTGAGGAGTTTGCCAGTGTGAATGTACTTAATGGATTCAGCAGAGTCTGGCTTTATACTATTTACATCTAAACCAAGTTAGCTGTGGTGATTTTCCATAAAAGTAAAATTTTGGATTACATACCTCTGAATGAGGTTGAAGCCAGCAACTTAGCCTGAAGATAGAAGAAAAAGAAGAATGGGAAAGGAGCTTGTAGAAAAAAGATATTAAATTTGTTGTTGGCTTACCATCATCTCATAAGCTGACTTTCTGTTCTGGCTTTGGCTACTAGGCAAAGAGAAGTCACTAGCAAAGTATGTGCTAGGACATGTCATTGTAGGTCATGAGGAAAATGAAGGAAAGATTTTTAAATATAGCTGCACTTATATTTCTGCAGTATCCTGTATGGTCTTTCTTTCCTGAGGTACTAGAATCATCTGCCAGGGGGGGTTTTGAAAATTTTCCCAAAAGAAATTATTGACAATTGTAAAGATGACCCAATTAAAACCTTTCTTCCACTTTTTGTCATTTTGTGGGTGAATGAGTCTAAATAATGATGAGGTTTCATTCCTCTTAGAAAGTGGAAATGTATGAATGTCTGTCTGTTGTAAAAGAGCTGTCACCACCACCACCCCCCGAAAAAAAAATCACAGCAAAAAAGGATGCTTCAGCCTGAATGTCTTTGTTTTCTATTTGATCATGTATTTCAATCTCAATTAATTACTTGGCTTCCAAATGTAAAGCCTGTCCATTTCTTTCCAATATAATATTTAATATTCTGCCTTTCTACATCATCTTCTTAAGGATACAGATTGTTCTCACCATTCATTTTCTGCACATTTGCAAATACAGTTGCACAGATTGGGAGCCTTATGCTTCTTTTCGTGGCCTTTAATCTCTTCCTTTAAAACTTTTAAGTTTCTCTAGGCTTTTTGATCACAAATGCAATAAACCCATCCTCCCTACAGGTTTTAAGACAATCCCAGATTATGTGGCTAGGAGAGGCAATAAGAGAATTAAAGCTAAGAAAGAAATCAGTCTTGTTCTCTAATGACTTCCTATTTTCTACTGCTGATAGAATGAGAAGATTAAATCTCTATCTGCAAATCTTGTGAGGACAATCTAAGAAGGGGAGAAGCATAAATGATTAGACAACAACTTCTGCCAGCAAAGGGAAGCGAGAATGTCATTCAACAAACTTTTGGAATGGAGAAAATGGTCAGAGATAGCCTAAGCAGCAAATAAGGAATAGTTGAAATGGTTGAAAAGTTCCTCCTGGTTTTGACAGATTGGCAAAGGCATCTGTCATCCCCACTTCTATCAAAGCGTTTTAAAGAGAGAAGAAGAATTTAAAACTATATTACTTAGAGGTGCAATATGTGGATCAAGCCTGTGACAGAGCAGGGCACATTTCTTCACATCAGATATTGGGTAACAGTCCCAATTTAGGTCCTTGCAAATGAGCAGAGATATGCATGTGCTTAAATTTAATTAGGCTTGTATTTAAACCTTGTACTGATTCAGAGCCTCAGCTGACCTGATAATGTCCATTTAAGAGAAATCTCCATTATTTTATTTAAAGCTCAGAGATTATGGTGAAATGCATATTGTTCCAGAAATAGTTCAACTGATTTCATCGAGGGCCTGCTCTGTATATCTGAATTTGTTTAGGAAAAAAGCAAGCGAGGAAGCTTATAAAAAGTGACCTATATTATATATAGAAAACATAACAGTTGTTTAAAAAAATGTACCCCAATTCGAAGAAAGAGCACAACAGGAAAAGGACCTCTCAGCTCAAATCTGTTCAAATAATCAACATAGTTTTTTTCAAAACAAGGATTGGAGAAGGAAAATAAGTACACAAATAAAAACAGACTGGAGTTTCCCTTTGTTCTGTTCTTCTGCAGTTGCAGACATGTTAACATTTTATATCCAGTTCAGTAAGCATTCAGTGTTGCCTGTTTTATTCCAGTACTGTTAACTACCAAGACAAGTTAAAACTGTAGAGTCAAACTTCAGCTTTTCATTTATTTGAATTATGATTTCCTGAGCAATGTTCTCCCTATCAGCTGGTATACTTCTTCATTGTAGTCCCTTGCTCACTTTGAATGCTTTAAATGGGCAGCCACATTTCTTTCAGAAATAATAAAGTAGCGTTCTTGTTACTGAATAGTTGCTGGCATTTTGTATTTTTAAGTGTTCCTCTAGGATGAAATTAACAGAGCATTCACTACATTTATTAAAAAAAAAAACCAACAACAAAACCCAAAAATATTTATGCTTTCTGGAAACCTTAGCTATAGAACATTGTGCCCCAAAGGAAAAAACACATTGTTAGCTTGTTATTGATCTTGACAGTGTATGCACAACTTCCCTGAATGTTGTGGCACTAATTCATGATAGCCTTTTAACTAGTCACTATTTCCAAGTCCCAGAATCATGAGTAGAAATTTATTGCAGACATAGCATAAGCCACATGGGTCACTAAGATGCCTAAATAATTAAATTATGGATACAGAAGTATACTACGCTGCAGATGCAAATGACCTGCATTTTCAAAATATACCCATCATTTGCCTTGCATAGAACAAAAGACTTGGTATTCAAAACCAGGTCCTAAAGGATTAAAATGAAAATAAGCTCTATGTGTGCACAGATGGATAGTGGAAGTTTCCAGCTTCCACTGAGGGCAGTTCAACCAAAATTTTGATTCTCGGTATAACAGCAACTTAGCCTGACTCGTTCACACAAAACACCTGCATTTCATTATTGTCCCTAGACTGAAAAGGCTGGAAACACCCAAAGTCCAGAAAGTCAGGTTTTTTACACAGTGATGGAATCTAGTTCAAAGATTAGAGAACACAATAAAACCAATCCTAGTTATTGACTTTACTGTTTGTGACTGAAGTCTCCATTCCAAAAAGTGCAAGGAAGAACAGCGGTGTGAGCAGTTAGTACTGAAAACGATGTGTTGTATTTAACAGTCCACTGTCTCTTGATCTGACATAGTGGATTGTTCCCCAAAAAAGTCTGCGGCATAATTCATTCAAACTGTTGTTAATCTTCCTTAGGAATACCTTGCTCATATATGATTTTGAGAACACCCGTTTTCTTCCCTTTGATGTTTGCAGTAGGCTAGAGAATGTGACTGTGTCCCTGCAAAAACTTCAGTATCTTACATCAGAAGCTGTTCAGGCGCAAGCCTGAAATACGTTATGTTGGACAAGTCATTGAAAACACTTGTAACCATTATTCCAGGTGGATTTTGTAACGGTGTTGTGCTGTTACAGTGTTGAATTTCTTTGACTCTTGCAGATTTTTGACAAAGAAGCTAAAGATTTGGAGCGAGAAGTCTGCTTTATTGATATTGCCAGCGATGAAATTCCTGAGCGCTATTACAAAGAATCAGAGGTAAGAGACAACTTGATCGTGAAATGGTGAAGAAGGGAATGTAAAAGGCTGCAGGAAAGCCTTGATAGGAATCAAAACAATCTTATTTTGGTACGACATGTTGCTGGTCAGCAGTATTTAGAAAGCTTTCGATTAGAGGGGAAGCATATAGCAACTTCTCTGTCTAGATTGTCTGACACTTTCTTTTGTAGATGATTCCTCCAACCTTTTGAAATGCTTTCATACCCTTATCAGAACATATCCTGTACCAGACCTTTGATATTCAGCTGAATTCGTTCAAAATAGAAAAGGACTTTTCTTTGAATCATGAAGCTCAGTTAAGTGTTTCCAGGTCTGAGCAGTTTTAAACATTAGTGTTGTCCCTAATTGCATCCCACCCCAGTTAATAAGTCATGCAAAGTGCCTAAGCCCAGGCAAAGGACAGATATGCTGCAGCGAGAATAGGGTTGATGCACAGTTGCTCAGGGGCGACCATGACACAAGACCAAGAGGGACTGAAGTACTCTACATACTGCAGTAAATCTGCCAAAAAACATCAATGGCAGGAGACACATTCACTCTCTTAAAATTCCCTTGGAAATTGCTCCCATGTATATTTGATAGTGCACATCTCTGAAGAGCATGTTTCTTTTAGGTCAATGCAATTCACTGTTTGGAAATCAGCAGCCACCATGCAAATGAAGGTGAGGTCTCAATGTTTTAACCTTAGACTTGAAAAATGATGGTTCATAACAAGTAGCTAGAGAGGAACTATCAAATCTATGCTTGCATTTAATTTTGGAGATATGGTTTGCCTCTGGAGCCAAGTATATATTCATAGCTGGCAATGAGTATGGCAGCTGTTTGACTATACAAAACGAGACTACATAATCATTTTTAGGATAGAAAATGAAGACTTGCCAATGAATACATTTCTATACCATAGGAGACGTGATTTTCAAACTAAAAAAGTCAGGTACTTGTTATCTTCCATTTATAGATCCTATTTCACATTTTATGTACGGATCATAAAACAAAATTGGGTATATAGTAGAATGAAAGGTAATTTTATTAGTTTCTTTAGATAATGAAATCCATCTGTTTCATACCCAAAATTACATAACACCTCATGAAACAGCTTATTGGTCCCATCATCTTATCTGAATTCCATGGTCTTCTGGTTCCATTTAGGAATGACTGCTGCTGTTGAACGGGTCAGCATTTGACTGTGTTTTACAGAAATCACGTAAGATTTTTCATCTCAGTGTGTGCACTTCCAGTAATTGTAAAACATGAAGGTAACATCTAGCTTTTCAGCTTTCCGTCCCATTTTTAATAGCCAACTATTAAGCATAATTTCCATATGATTAATTGTATGATATAGAAAACCAGCCTCATGTTATGTGAGAAGATAATTTCAGGGTCTTTGTGTTGTTATTTCAAAGACAAATCTAGAGACCTGATTCCAAGCAAAATGGAATTTTATATGGGTTTAAACAACAAAAATAGCCCAGCATCTGTTGTTTTTTCTGTACTGATGGATGATTTGTATGTTGGCTACCAAATTCTGTTTCAGAATTCATACAAAATAGAACACCTTAGCATTTAACTGTGCACATACTGTAATTGATATTGAATAAATAATAGTCGAATTCACTATCTTCCAAAGTTTACAAACTATTGGGTTTTTATGCTACCATATGAACATGAAGCCAAATTCCCATTTCTGATGAGGCCTCTTACATAATTTAGGGACTATAAAAAGAGTTTAAATGTTTGTAACTGTAATTTCTGTCTGTTTTCAGTCAGAACAGCATAAAAAAGTAACTATGTAACTGAGAAACGGTCTGTGTTTTCCATATAACAGTTTCAGAGATAACTGAAAACCATTTACTGTAAGCTTTAGATAGGTATTTTAGTTACACTAATAACAACAATTTGGCTGCTTTTAGATCATTTAATCTGAATTGATACTAAGTTTAAAGATTAAAAGTGAAGTACAATCCTCAGGATTTAAGAATTAGATCCCACGGGATAAGTGTTCTGACTCCCATCCAGAAAGTCCAATGAGAGTGATTTTTAACTTCAGGCATGTTAGTAATCTCTTCATTTCAATGGATCTTTCACATGCTTAAAATTAAGCAGGTTCTGTATCAGGGTCAGCATACTTGGCAGCTTCTAGAAATGATCTTTAAATTTCTTTTATATGCGGACAAAAGTGCATCCCTCTTCAATTAAAAATATGCTTCAGTTTTTAACAGCAAATTTCATTATTTAGTTGTATTACTGTATATTAGAGACGTAACTTAAATAATGTAAACCTTTTACACACTGCTTCAACTGCTTGCTCTTTGTTAGTGCTTATGAGCCTGCTTGTAGATGGACGATTTCTGTTATGAGCAGACAGCACTAATTCCATAGTTGCTATTAAGCTAGTATTTGTGTTCTCCATTATTTTTAGCTTTAAAGTGCTCAGTTATCCTTCATAAACTGTTTGGGTCAATATCATAAGTTTTTCAGTGCCCTCAGTGTGAAAAGACCCTTTCTACAATATGACTGCGACCTTTCTTTGAGTTAGTGCATCAGATAACTCACTGATTATAGCAGAATGAACCACAGCAGCTTTAGTGTTGTTTTTCTCATTTATATAAACAGAAGATATGATTGTGTATGTATTACACCAGTATCATCAATAGAGGTAATAATATTACAGCTACCACAGGAGGGTTCAGGAGATATCCAAGGACAAACAAGTGAAGCAACCGTTCTCTGCTTCCTAGCACCTATGATCTAAAAAATTATTTTTCAGTTGCCCTGACATGAATCTTATAAACAGATCTATATTCTTCCTTCCATTGTAACTTACATAATAATGATTCACACATAAAAAGACAAAATGTATAAAACATCTTCATATGTATAATATTCGATTTGAATTGCATAGCTCATTTTGACTTGTGCTGGTACTGATGAGAGAGGAAAAGCATTCCATGAAAATGTCATGACAGTTGAAGGGAAAGTGATTGAATTCAACTTTGTGTATATCTGCTTTTTCTGTCCTTCTAAATATCAACTAAAATTGAAAAGTAAAAAATACAGTTAGCTGGAGGCTTATGGATAGCTGTTGTTACATTGAAGAACATTTTAAAGGAACCTCTGCTAATAATACTGAGTGATCTCTTGACCAGAATCATCCAAGTGATTTGAATTCCCTTAAGAATAGAGGGTTTATCTGTCAGTGTATGCACAAAAGGACTTAAATCACCGAGTAAACAGTGAATCAGAAGACAGTTGTTAGCTATTACAAACACATACACAGAGTCCAATTCTGTCTTCCATGGAGGTATACTGATTTCTGCTGTCAAAAGATTTGCCCTTGTAGAAGACTGGAGGAGGTATAACTGCAGCAATTCTGGGTATTCCAAAGCAGATGACTTAGAATTAACTTAATGACCATCTACAAACTTCATTGTGAAGTAGCCACCAGAATACTTACCAGTGCTGCCACATCTTATATAAAGCTTTTTTTTTTTTTTTACAAGCATGGCCCTAAAAATCTTTAAACCTGTAAGAAGTTTAAATGTGAGGTTCCAAATTGAGAAAGCTTGAATCTAGATCCAAGCTAACAGGTTTGCCTGTTATTCTGTAAGGACTCACATATGTTTCCAAATCTGAATGTACATGGTACATTGAATACAAATTTTTTACTTCTGTATAAAGAATGTACAAGCCTACAGGTAAGAGTAGTTGTACATTCTGTAAAGTAATTTCCTTGTGACTTTACCGTCAATGAATATGTATCACCAGCCATCATGTATTCCCAATATAGACATATATATTTATCTGGATTGTAGAAAAGAATAAAACTGAGCTATGCTGAAGAGTGAGGGCCTCAAGTGAATCATTCACTGAAATGAAACATTTACTGTAGATGTGAGCTACTGAGCAAAATGTTCTTTGTGAACATATTCAAGTTCTCAAAATTTAACAGTGTTTCATTTCCTGTTTATAACAAAGCAGTTTAGAGTTGGACAAATGGAATAAACTTTTAAGTTACCTCCAAACAGAAAGATTTCATGCAGCTGCTGCAGTTTTCTTCTTCAATTGCTGGCTTCTTTCACTTTAACACAGCTGCACTGTAATAGGTCCAGCTTACTACTGTCCAGGTGCTTTCAGAATAACAAAAACTCTATCACGTTACAGAGCCAGAAAATTATGGTAGTTGAAATAATACAGCTGGCTCAGCCCCCACAGTGAATGTGTGCAACATGTCAGTACAGTAGTTCAGTACAGGGCATAGCAAAAACAGATGAAAATTTCCTTTTCCTTACTAACTTCACTTGTGAGCTTACATAAAGGCTGGCTGGTTTATCATATTTTAACACCTCAGAACTGTCCCAGTATTTACAATTCTTACATATTTAGCTGGCTTTTCCAGAAAATACATTTTAATGGAAATTCAAAGGGACAAAATAAGGTATCTTTAAAAAATTACTCCACATAAATGTCTATAGTAGCATCTTTACATCAACAAATCTTTCCAGAGCACTAGCTATATAAGCTGAAATCCAAAACCTAGCAACTACAGCTGATGGTGAAATGCCAGATCACATATATTAAAACCATGAAGGATTGGTTCTGAAATTTAAGATCAAACAAAATGGTCTTCAGCTTAAAGGGGGAAAAAAAATTGACTGCACTTCAAAAGCATGGTGGTGGAATATATTGCAATAGGAGTCTGAAAAAATGAATCCATGCATTAAAAGGAAGGAAGAATCTGTTTCTGGGACATCTGAGTACCTTCTGGTAAGAGAATAGGATGCATGGCATAAGCACAATGCACTTTCACCTCTGGAGAGCATATTCAGCTTGGGGATCTTTTTCCATGCTAAAATGGCCATACAAGCAGCAAGTAATTTTTGAGACAGATTGGTGACAAGGCTAACAAGATGTTCAGTGCGGGCTTCCAGCATACAGACAAAGGAGGTGTTGCCAGCTGCAGAATAGTATGGCATCTTCAAATCATGCCTGATACCACAGCAAAGCTAAGGGAAAGCATGTCCATTCAGATTTGGAAGTTTTCTGTAAACAATGAATTGATTTAATTATTTAAGTAAAAAATAACATTTCAGAATTAAATATGAAAAGGCATTGCAACAACCCAGTGCTATATTGTCAACACATTGGTGCTTGCCTCCTGGAAAGGGGGTTATAATTCCACATCTGATGCCCATGATGTCTGCAATCCATGAGGAAGGTTAAGTAAATAAATGCTAAATAATGGAATCTCCAACAATAAGCATGTGACCCAGGACCTGCCAGACGTGGCGTAAATGAGTAACACTGGGAGAATGCTATGTTAGAAACCATATCCATCACACTGTGGCTTTTATTTTATTTTATTTTATTGTAATTTTACATTTTATTCTCAAATAAGCCCAGCTCATGGGTAATGATGTTTATGCTATGTTAGCAGAAGTGCTATTTTTAAATCACTCTGCACCTGGCAATAATGTATTGCAAATACAGGGTAGGTTTTGCTCTTCTGTAGCAAAAGGATTTGCCAGATGGGCTTTCCTAATAAATTGGGTCTGATAAAAGGACGAGAAGGTTATTTAAACAAAAAGATTTTAGCTATGCCATTACATTTAAAACAGATTGAGGATTTTGCCAGTAGATAAATTAAGGGGAAAATAGTGAATAGACACAGTATTCTTTGGATTATGGCTTCTCTAGAAAGGAAGGCATGGGTGGCTAAAAGCAAAAATAAGGCACACACAAAATTAATGGTGTAAATAATAACCTAAAAATGGGGTCAGACCAAAGATCAGCTTGCCCAGTTTCTAGTCACTGACAGAAGTGTTTCAAACACATGAGCCACAATTCCTGCCTAGAGCAAGCTTCTTCACTCTAGCCTGGTGCCTCTGGTATGTTTTGCAAATTGCCATACCTTTCACAGGAGGAGTAAGGAACAGCCACGATCGGTACAGGCAGGTGCTCAGCGCTTCCTCCTGGGACCTGGAGAGATGTGAGCATGGCACATGAGTCTAATTTGTTCTATCTGACTAACCTAATCAGTGAGCTACAGCATGAAAGCCAGGAGGAGCAGCAGTGCTGTGTACCAATATTATTTCTACTTGCCTTTAATAGAAAATTATCATCCCTGCTTAATTTATTTTTTTTTTTTTTTTTTTCCAGAAGGACCTTATATGCCTAATTGCAGAAAGGATTCCAGGCTGTGAATCTTAATCTGGCAATTTGAAGCCATGAGTTAGGCACATAAAATAATTCTAGGCTGTAGGTTTCATGTCAAATTTCTCATTGATTTCAGTGGGCTTTGGATCAGTCCTGGTCACACCAAAGATCCTTTTGGTGTGGTGTGCTCCCTGTGGCTGTGGCCAATAGCAGACCTACAAAAGGTGTAAATATATGCAAAATACAGAGATAAACATAGAGATTCTTCCCCTAAATACTTCCTCTTATGAACCATAGCACAAGCAATTGCTGAGCCAGAATTTGTGTCTTTCTAAAATAGTCCAAGACCTTTTTAAACACCTACTTTTTTAGCATCCGGGTAAAAAGCCCAGTGATGTTAGTTTTACTTACGATAACAACTCACCTCTGTAAAACACTCATGCCGTTTGAATTAATGGCCAGAGATTAAACTGTCAAGTTCACTTTGCTTAATGTTGCTGTGTATCTTACATCCCACTACTCAGTTTACAGGCAATCTGAGTTTTAGCTCACTTGAGCAAGCACTCAGTCAAATCTTTAACATCTTGATCTTTCATACAGCAGTCTGGAAATCTATTCCTCTGAATTCTTTCTGTTTCCTGGCTTCCATTCATCGGTCTACAGTTTTATAGTATCAATATGTTAATGTTTCCAGAAAGGCAGGAATTTCCATAAAAGCTATTAGGTATATAAGTTGCCCATACTGTCCATCATTGCCTGGCTCTTTGCTCAAAACTGTCCAGCCAATTTGTGACTAAACATCATGTCCTTCAAGAAAGATGCCATCTCTGGGCACCGTTAAAGGAATTTGCAGCTAAAAGTGATGTCACAGATGAATTGCATTGCAGGAGGTGGATTATTTGTGGGCCACCAATTTAAGAATTATTTCCACTGTGAATCCCCTTGCCCGTTGTGTTAACTTCACAAAAACAAAACAAAGCAAAACACTGCTTTCACAGCAGCCAGAGGGTTCTTGCAGTTTGAACAAGACACAAGTTTTATGCATGACTGAGCAGTCATGCAGGGTAGCAGTTCATTATTTAATTTTTATTTATAAATTCTGAATACTTGATACTGACTCAAATTCATTACATTAAATCCCTTTGGACTGCATTGAAGTTATTCCATTATAGATCTGGTTATCGCTGAAGAGATATAAAGTATACTCTCGGTATTATTAAAGTGTGTATCTGAAATGCTTAATCAAGACAATGGCTCCATCACACTAGCACCTTATGTGTATGTAAGAAACAGCAAACTATTTTCCTTTTTAGAAATACTTATTTTACACTGGAATATTTTGGTAGAATATTTGAAATCATATTTTCTGTAATTATTTCCTTATTCATGGAACCATCTACTAGAATTTTACATCTTTCTGAATATTATGTCTTCATTCTTCCCGTTGTTGTTGTTGTTGTTGTAGAATTTTATATCTTTCTGAATATTATGTCTTTGTTGGTGGTGGTGGTATTATTATTATATTGATTGCTTCAGGCAATGATCAGTTATAAAACAACTCTTTCAACCAGAAAATATCTAGATCAATCTGAGGTCAAGCTTTACTGAGTGAGAAGATTGGCAACAGCATGTGACTATGAGTTGTGATACACAGTGGTATGTCGCTCTGATATATGATGACGCCGAATTGTTTTTTATGGTGATTTAACATTGAAACCTTATTATACTGAGAGCTTGAAGTTTCTATTTAGAAAAGAATATGTCAGCAATAAAAGCAATGACTTTCACAGGGAAGAAAGACTATCACCTCATTAGAGCTCTGTAAAGAAGCTTTAATGACAGAGCTTCAGTTTATGGATAAAATCAGAAGCCAAGTCAGGAGATAACTAAACATTAGAAAAAAGGAAAGCTGAATGATATATAAGCTCATACTGAATGAAAGAAAATGAAGATCAGAGTTGGTCTTATCAATTTTTTCTTAGTTTTTCTCCTGATTGTCTTCCATTTAGTGCATAATTTAAGCACATAGTTAAATACATGTTTAACTGCTTTTGTAACAAAGGATGGATTTAAAAGATCTTCCCAGATCTCAGCTTTGGGAAAGGCAACACAGGTGAGCACTGGTGGTTATACTTAAAGACAGATTTTAGAAGATCCACTATGAATCTACTGAAATGACATTGTTTTCAAGTTTTGAAAAGCAATGCTTAACTGTAAATTATTTCTATTTACAAGATGTAATTAGCAGGATTGGACATAAAGTGAAATGAAATTATACCAATATAGAAAATAACTCCTTGATAGATAAAACTGTAACTTGTACAGATAAAAGTAAACTTTAAAGATGAACTAATGTCCTTACTGTTTTTTTGGTCTTGCTGTTGTAATTTCAACACCAATTTATTTGATTTTCCAGTTCATAGAAGAGACAGAGTCGAAATTAGTGTTTTGCTCATAACTCGGTTGTAATCAGAAATGGCTAAATTGGAGGAGATTCATACCTAGCTGGCCACCTGAATATACAAGTTCACTTAAAATTGAAAATGCCTTTGTCAGGGTCACATCAGTGTTGATGTGTCAAAGCTGAAAGTGGACATGATTTCAGGAAGACAGGCATGGGTAGAAATTACTAGTAAGTCACACTGAGAGAGTATTGGTAAAGCAAGCTCTGAAGAAGCAACATTTTTTTTCCAAATGCCATAAATAACACTTGGAGTGCATTGTATTGTAATGACTTGCAATAACATATTTTCCTGTAGCAGAAAATGTCCTAGATGATATGATTGTCAAAGCATCTCCAAGAATATGCTGCCATCGATTCACTGGCTGCGTTGGATAAAAGGCAGGATTGGATTTTAGTATATCCTAGTGCCTACTTAAGTCAAATTCATATTACTTTTTCATAAATGTTTATTAGCATGTTTGCATATTTTATGTCTTAACAAAACATTTACTTTAGCAAACTGACAAACAGGACTTCCTCTCCTGCGTTTCCCAGTATGTTTTCTTTGCTTTGCAGGATCCTAAATATTTCAAGTCACAGAAGACTGGGAGAGGCCAATTAAAAGAAGGCTGGAGAGAGACACATCAGCCAATTATGTGTTCCTACAAACTCGTGACTGTGAAATTTGAAGTCTGGGGACTTCAAACCAGAGTAGAGCAATTTGTACACAAGGTCAGTGAAACAGGAGCTGTTTCTTATCCTTCACATAAGCAGAACTTGAGTACTACCCAGCACAGGAATGTAACTTTGGCTGTGTAAAAGCTAGGGAGCTCAGCCGAATCTGCTTTCAGACCTCGAGCAGAGCCAAAGAGTTCACCTCTGGGTATAAAATTGACAAAGCCTGGAGCTGCTCAGGTCTAAGGTTGAGAAAAACTATCAATAACGTTTTCCATACTGTGATAAATATATGAGCTAAAGTATTTACGAGTATACATGAGTACCGTACATGTAGCAATGATGTGCAGAATTTCTTACAAACAGGTAGTGGAAAAGTTTTCCAATCAGACTACAAAAAAATTAATTAATTAATGGCATAACAACCAAATGGTAATATTTTTCAGAGTATTGACCTTCCACATGTTTAAAAAACTAACAAGGAAAAAGAAGAGTTCTGGAACGTCTAATTGCCCAAAGATTAATGGATTTTGTACACATTCCCAAATGGCTTCCCATGCTACTCGAAGCCATGCTGATGTGATCCAGTGTTGGCAATAGATCCACTTCAAATGGGAGATTGGACTACAAGACCTTCAGAGCCAGTATATCTGACTCTCTAGGGCATGTTTTTTCAGACACAAAACTGTCAGAACATTTTTCACTTTAAATCACTTTGAAAGACAACAGTGTTACTTTTCTAGAAGGTTTTGTTGCTGCAGAGGTACTTAACCTTTCCCTTGTTTCGCAGGTGGTCAGAGATATACTATTGATTGGTCACCGGCAGGCTTTTGCCTGGGTTGATGAGTGGTACGGTAAGTATTCTCGAAATTTAGCCCATTTAAAAGGGCTTGTTGTGGTTTAACCCCAGCTGGCCATTAAGCACCACACAGCTGTTCACTCAATCCCCACCCCACCCCACCCCCTTGGGATGGGAGAGAGAATCAGGGAAAACAAACATAAAACTTATGGGTTGAGGTAAAGAGTTTAATAGGACAGAAAGGGAAGGTAATATACTAATACTACTAATAATAGGATATACAAAACAAGTGATGCACAATACAGTTGCTCACCACCTGCTGACCGATGCCCAGCCAATCCCCAAGCCATGGTGCCCCCAGCGAACTCCCCCCATTTTATATACTGGGCACTATGTAATATGGTATGGAATACCCCTTTGGCTCGTTTGGGTCAGCTGTCCTGGCTGTGTCCCTTCCCAGTTCCTTGTGCACTCCCAGCTTCTGCTGGCAGGGCAGTATGAGAAGCTGAAAAGTCCTTGACTTAGTATAAATGCTGCTTAGCAACAACTAAAACATCAGTGTGTTGTCAACATTATTCTCATCCTAAATCCAAAACACAGCACTATATCAGCTACTAAGAAGAAAATTAACTTTATTCCAGCCAAAACCACGAGAGGGCTGATGCAAAGCTTAAGAAAATTAACAACAGATTTCCATTTGCTTTCATGGATCATCAGGCCCTAGTATAAGTAGTTCCTGAAAGAGATGGAACTATGTTCAGTTTCTCTGGAACATACGGAGCTCATTTACAGCAGGTTCTTTGTAACAAGAGTAGGCTGTATTTTAGGCAGCCAGTAGGCAGCATACAGGGATCCTTTACATCCCATGCATCTCACCATATATGCATAGGCAGATAGAAGCTGCCCCTGCCAAGAGTCATCTATATGGAGAACCACATGCAGGTTTGAATAAAGCTTCTTATCAAGACTGCATTAACATGCAGTCATTTCCATACTGCAAACTCCTAAGGCCTCTAATCCAACACAATTTCAGCTTTTTAGGAAAGTTTTAAACTGCTAATGTGGGTTGCAATAAAGGAAAGATGGAGCTCTAATGTCCTTTCTGAAAAATGGATATAAACATAAAGTCTACTGGGTCTGATTCAACAGCAGCTGCATGCAAAAAAAGCTGTTCTGAATCCATGAACCAGCTGTAGGAACGGGCACTTTCAACAGTAGAGAGTAATCTGAATATCAAAACAGCCAATTACATTTTATAAAATAAGCTCACAGGGTTTGTGCTTTTTACATGTATTTTTGGTAAGATGTATCCATAATCATAGATACTTGTAGAACAGTTTCTAGGACATTCCTGTAACATATAATAGGAATTTGGGTATATCTTTAGAATGTTTATTTAGACCCTCCTTAAGCTTCAGGAAACACCGTTTTGGGCATTTCATGGATAAGAATGACACCTGTCTTTCATCAAAACTCAGAAACATTCTGCATTGCTTAGAAATAGTCAACTAGCCCAGCTGGTGCAAACACACACATCTTCAGTGACTTCATAAACCTGCATAATTTTACACTAGAATCTAACAACAAACTCGTTGTGCTGATTTTTTGAAAATACAGAAAAAATTGCCTTTGAAATCACAATGTTCTTATAAATTTAATACCACATGAAAATCTTGCGCTGTAATGATCGTAAAAATACTGACATCTACTAAACATATCTTCTATTTTGGGATAGCCATAAACTAGTAAGAGAATTTTGTATCCAGTGAGAAAGAGTTCTCAAGAGATATTTTTTTTTTTCCATTTTTTTACCTGAAATACAGTGATCCATTATTTTCCCTGTACGAAAGAAGTCAGGGAAACTGTTGACTTCAAATAAAGAAGCCTGACTTCATGTAAAAATTGAGCCCACAAATTTTCCCACATCTACCCAAAATATCTATTGAAGCGCGACATAAAGAAATGTTACTGGGAAGCAGAGATTCATCTGCAGTTTAGCAGAGTTATTGATAATGATAACAAGTGAGTAGTCATGAAGTTAAACTTACGGAATAGGTTTAGCCCCAAATCATTTAAGCACAGATTTTCCCATCTTAACGCTGAATGCCCCCTGGCAAAAATACTCTTTCCACAAATTAAATACTGTGATACACAATTATCTTGTGGATTTTTACTGTCACGGTGATTCTTTTTACTAAATAATATAGTGTACTTTTAGAACTTAATTGTCAGGCTAAGTACAAAACCTAAAAAATCTGGACTTAAAATAGATATGAATAAAGGCTAAGTATATAGCAAGATTTATAAAAAAAAATAAGTGCAGAAAGTTAGTTTAGGTAACTGTGTGCTGTTGTCTGCAGCCCTTATACCACTGCATTGTTCTGAAGTTGGTAAGACTTGCTGACTAGAAACTGAGTATTTTATTACCCAAAATGAGTGAGTTCCAATCTGTATACATCCAGTTCAATTTAATACATATGGTCTGTAAAAGTCTTGTGGTACTGCTCTTGACATGTTTATGTGTGTAGGCAGAGTTTTTCAAAAATACAGTTTTTGAAGTGTCTGTGTGCCTTCAATGTGTCTATTACCATCTTTTAAAATAAAAGTTTGAGAAGGACTTGGAGCTGATGCTAGTCAGCTAAACAGAATCAAATAATCGGTGTAATAAAATCAATTATTAAATGACATGTTATGTTGCGGATATTACTGACTGATTACTGTTACTGATACTGTAAGTATGAATGTGTCTTGTCGTTAAATTTACTAAACTGTATTTAGCTTTATTATTAAGAAAATCTATTTTCACAGTGTTACTTACTAATTAAGAGCATGTTCTCTGCTTGGCAAAGTGCATCCTTAGCATGTTATTGACATGGCTTATGAGCTTGTTTTTCATTCCAGATAACAGGAAAAGGAAAAGACTAAAAGAGTATGAGTTAGTAGTATTCCATGTTTCCTTTTGATCAAAATTTTAGACTACATTTCATTTGCACGGATGAAGTATTACATTGTGCTACTAATATAATAGCTAAAGTTATATCTTTCCTTAAAAGCTGTCTCGTAAAATGCAGCAAGAGCCTCACATCACATAACAAGCAGTGGTGTGATACAGGAATTTGCAAATCCAAGTGGCACATAATAAACTTGAGAAAAATTACAGCCTCAAGAACAAAAACACAGTGTATGTTACCAAAAGGGGTACTTGTTTGCAAGTATACTGTGCTAATAAAATGCTATTTAAGTTCTGTGAGTAAAAAGTTGATGGCTATTTTCATGAAGCTCTGAAGTTATCAAACCGTTGTAAAGAACAGACCAGAAATCTGACTGCCTTCATGTTCAGTTATACCTTACTCTCAAGTAGATTTATTGAAAGCATGGAAATACTCAGAAGAGTAAGGTCACAAGTCATTTAATTGGATTCTTTATGTTTTTACTGGAAGTGTGGTTTATGACAAATCTTTTTAAAATCTGTAATAATTGCTTAGGGTTACATAGCAAGCATCTAACAGATTATGCACTAGTTTGACAACATCAGGCATGCCTAGACAATGATAAATGATCCTATTGGCAGAATCAGCCTGATTTGTAGAATATTTCTAATTCTTGTAATTCATTAAATTGCTTGAGGCTTACAAAACTGAACGTGTTCACTATTAATTCACTTTTCCACTATAATTAAGTGTTCGTTTCTGGAATCTAAGCTGATGTATGCTCTAACAGTAAGAATGTTTGCTGGTTATGAGATGTACTATGCAAATATAACATAAAATCTTTTTGAAAGTGCCTGGAAAGGTAAGTAAGTATTTATAATATTTCTGTACCTATCCTTTATTCCAAGGGATCTTCTAAAATCTTTTTAGAAGATCTTGGCCTTTGCCAAGGCCTGCACTTCAATACTTTTTGCCTACCTTATGTTACACGGATACTCCTAAACAATTTCCACTCCTTCCTGTTCTCTGACTCCCTTTGACTTAACCTTCTTACACCTTCCTTGGCTGATATAACTACCTTTATGAGTCGGTCTTCATAAAGCTAGTTGCTCCATGCTCTTTTTTTAAATCCTTTTTTGGCTTCTGCTAAAAGACTATGTGTTCCTAGAACCTTCTCCTTAAAAAAAAAATAAGTTTGCACTGAATCAATGGAAAATGCCAACAATTTTGAACTTTTTACAGATATGACTATGGATGATGTTCGAGAATACGAGAAAAATATGCATGAAAAAACCAACATTAAAGTTTGCAACCAACATTCATCTACTGTGGATGAAATAGAGAGCCATGCCAAAGCAAGAGTATGTTGATTTTTAAAACATATTGCCCATCCTCAGCTAATAGGCCTGCACAGATCAGAGAAGAGCAACCAACTGATCTTGCTGACCAGTCAGTGGAATTTGGGGGAAGTTTTGCTTCAGTAGGAACAAAATCTTTCTCCATGAAGTGCAATCCTGCCTTTTGTTTGCACTGAAAACTGCCACTGATGTAAGGAAGGGTGGGGTTAGGCTCATATACAGCTCCCTGTCTTCCAGGAAAACACAATTCTTAAATTTCAGTTGGATGCATAAAGAGGAAGTTAAATTGGAGTTTTACTTTCTATGATTTGAATAGTTTAAAAATGCAGAACTTTCAGAGTGCTTCAGTCAAAAAGTCAGGAACATGGGGAGTGGAAAATTTCTATGGGACTGATAAAATTGTTTGCTTCACCAGGAAAAAAAAAAAAAGCTAATGAATTATTCACTCTTTTCAAACTAATTTTAATGTTGTCATTGATTAGCTACCAACAAGGTGAGTATATACTTTGGAAGTATGTAACAGCAGTTTGTGGAGAAGAGCAGATTTCTGTATAGGTTCTTTGATTCAGATTCTGGAAATTTCATAAAGTATTAAAGTTTCTAATTTGGGTACCTGAAATAGAGGTACTAAAATTAGAAATTACTGCTATCTGCAAGTAGAAAAGATGCAGTGATATTTGCTTTTGAAGTGTTGTTATTATTCCTTTATTTCTACTAACTGCACTGTAGAACTCAGTGATGGTTTTACTAATGTAATGAGTGTGGGCCAAGGCCTGAAGGGTTTGAAGTCTTTCCTTTGTTCTTATTCAGTAAAAATTGTCACCAGTTTGAGAAGATGTTGTCCAAGTAATAACCAGGAAGGTAGTTCTTGTGTTTGTAATGCTGCAGCTCCACTGACGTCAAGGTTACTCCTTAGCTGAGCAGTAACTTGAGAATCAGTCTTGACTTTGGCTCTACACTTTGGGATCTGGCTTTGAAAGAAGTCTGCCATCCTTAGTTCCCATGTGGAAAAATTGCCATTGAGGTCAGAACAGAATTTGACATTAGTGGAAGAAAATAGAGTGTGAGCCTTCTTAGCTCAGGGTAAGGACTGGTTTTACTTGAGTGTATATCAGAACAGAAGGGAATTTAAAGCGAGTATAAGCTAAAAAGCAAAAGTCAACTGAAGGGACAGTAAGTATTTCATGTCTGAATTTAAAATGAACAGTCTTGGAGGCTACCACTTAGCAAGACTTCAATCAGTCTTCACTTCAGTGGCTAGTAAACTGAGGAATCTTCCTGTCCTCTTTCACTTTCATTTATCCAAGACAACTTTCATTTCATGTTGTACAGAAGTCCTCAATCAAAAATAGCTGAAATGAATGCATGGGCTCCCTTTGATGTCAGGGTGCTTTTAAACCCTTTGAGTTCAGAAGCGCTACACACACTGTTATAGGGTGTGAAAATGTAAAACAGCAAAACAGGTTCAAATCTGTCTCCAGCACAAGTAGGTACAGTTCCTCTGAGACCATCTGTTTATTTCCACCGCTTATCGCAGATTTGAAAACGGCTTAGTCCTCACTCCTAATAACTGGCAATGCAGGCTGAAAAGGTCCCTGGAATGTCATCTGCAGGGAAGAAAAAAGGCAGCTGGCAACATGTGTGCTTTTGTTTATTTAATATGATGTTGTAATACAACATAAAGCTTCTTCTACATAACGTTTGCAGCCAATGCTACAGATGCATGCAGCTGGGTAATATTAAAAAGTATCCATGGACTGAAAGTACAGGATTTTATCATACATATGGTAAGCACCATTGCCAGTCCCATGTCTCAGAGACCCAAATGTGCAAGAATTTTAAACTGATTAAAATGCTAGTGGTTTTATTTCTCATTTTTTGAGCTTTCAGAGCTCAAAGAATCTATAAAATGGTTTAATGAAATACTTCACATTTACAAACTTTTAACATGACATCCAGTGAAAACCATAAAATATATTTCATTTGGCTCAGTGGACTTCTTGCAGGCAATGTAGACTTGAAGCAGCAGGTTTCAGAATTGTCTTGCTGACTTTTTTGCTCAAATTACCAGTTTGTAGCAGATGTCATTCGTTTCGGATTTTATCGAAAAAGTTTTGCCCAGCTCAGCTCAGAGCACATCTATGCTGGGATCGCTCTGCCCTCTTGTGGGTTTCTACAGCACTGTGACACATTTGTCACCTGCATGAGAAGACTTCCACTGCTTTCTGTGGACCCGATTTTCCCTTGCAAAGTGGCTTTAACCTCTCATGTCATTTTGCCTCTATTTTGCAGGGAGTTAAGCAGTGGATTTGTCAGTTGGCTGTAAATGTTTAAGTGCAGATTCTGGATGGAAATGTTGGAAAGCATGTTGTGGCTTTATCAAGTGAGAGGGAATTCTTTAGGCTTTATTAGTAGAAAAGCAAAACAGCCTCAGTTATGTGCATGCAGGTGCAACTAGAAGTCAGTAGAAGCTGTGCATGGCAGGAGAGAGAATTTTTCATCCCTTGATAATTACAGTAGATGAACAAACCGATGACAACCCTTTACTCATTCATGCTCATAATCTAAATGAAAAAAAAACAACAAACAAAACCCTATCAGTTTTATCTTTTTCAAAGTTCTGAAAAATTCTACTTGCTGACTGTGTATCTAAATGTATTATTTAATTGCCTGTGAAATAGCTTGGTTTTTCCAGCAATTACAGAGGTAGCAATCTTTATTCAGTTCAGATCCAGGTAGAAGAAGAACCATTAGTATGTGATTAATGTACTTAACTTCGTTTCCTTTACATTGGCCGCTTATTGTACTCCAATCAATGCCTTACAATAGGAAGGTATTCATGTGGAGAATCACTTAATGATATGCATGATAAGCAATCATTCCCTGATTTAGAATGTGGATGGAAGTAGTTTAACTGAGTTAATGAAATGATCATTTGAAATGATTGTAACTTGCCTTTATCTTTCTTTCCTTCTTGTTGTGAAGACATGACAATGGATGAAGTCCGAGAGTTTGAACGAGCAACTCAGGAAGCTACCAACAAGAAGATTGGGGTTTTCCCACCTGCAATATCTATCTCTAACATTTCCATGCCTTCTTCAACCCGCAGTGCTCCATCTAGTGCTCCATCAACTCCTCTCTCCACAGATGCTCCTGAATTCCTAACAGTTCCCAAAGACAGGCCTCGGAAAAAGTCTGCTCCAGAAACTCTCACTCTTCCAGATCCAGCGAAAAAAAACCTTTAAATTTACCCAGCATGTTTCCTCCTGATAAGCCATGTCTACCACAGCAAGAGTGACGTAACTCAATTTCTACAAAGGTCATGGTGGTGTGTTGGTTGTTTTTTTGCTTAAAATAATCTTACTGGTGTGGAAAGGTTACTTCTTTCCTCAGACTTGATCCTTAAAACCTTCAGAGAAATGCATGCAAGAGAACATAGTTTATATATTCCTAAAGTAGTGTTTCAAGCCATATGGTGCATCTTACTGACATACAATGAAACAGTCTGAGGGGAACCCTATAAAAGAAAATAAATCTTTCTGTAGCAGTATTCTACCTACAAATCCTCATCTAGGTCATAGCATTTATAATTAGGAGTAGGTATTTAGTAAAGCTGCCAAGGACTTCTGAGGCAAATTAGTGCCAACTAGAATGCAGGGTTAACAGAAAAAAAACCCTCCCATTTTCTTCTTTTATAGCCAATTTTAAAATCCTTCCTACTCTCAGGCTTCTCCTGTGTATTCATAAACCTTTGACCTGTAACTCATTGTACTTGAACACCAACAGCAATCACTCAGATTCACATTTTGCTTAATATGACTCAGGATTTGGGGCTTAGATAGCAAACAAAACTTTTCAAACTTAAAATTTCACTGTATTGAAGCCCCAATTGTAATTAATTATACTGACTTTGAGGCCACTGAATTATTTCTATCTTGCACAGGATTTGTAAAAGAAACCACCTATTTCTTGTAGATAATGTATTTTAATAGCTCTCCCCTGTCCTTTTGTGATCTCTTAAGTCCGTCTTGGTGTTCATCAATGGTGTTCCATGTGTAAGATTGAAAAAAAGCAGCTAAATTGAGCCAGTTGAGAAGCAAAGCCAATGAATTCTGTCTTTTCCTCACTGGAAGAAGAGTGGTAGTTACGCTCTAAGACCTTGAATGTAAAGGAAAGAAAATACAGGACTCCTTTTTCTTTCCTGCCTCACATCTTTCCTAAACAGCACAATCTCCGCTAATAGAAAGCCTGATTCCAGGCTTTACCATCATCTAGGGAAGGGGTGAACAAAATCAGTCACTTTAAAAAGCAAATGAATCGTGGGGCTGCTCAGTCCCGTGTAGGGTGACATTAAGAAAACAGAAGTGCTCTTCCTGGTCTGCGTGTGAAATCACTCTTCAATCTCAGGAATTAAAATGTAGAAAAGGTTGCTTCCCAGTAGGGAAGTGTAGATTGTGGAAGGAGGAGAAAAATAAATGGCAGAAGTGGTCTCTTCCTTCTTTCCTTTTCAAAATGCAAGCTCAGTGAGAAACTTTTGCCCCTGACCCCCATTTGGGGTACTTTGTTCTCTTTCATACAAAATGCTACTTCATGAATGCTGTCAGTATCTATCTCTGTTGGTACCTGTAGTAGACTTTAAATAAGCCGCTGTTCAATTCCCCGTGAATGATAGCTGTTACCTGAATCATATGATCGAAGTGGGTGATACTTTGTACCAATGGTGACGTGGTACATGGATTAAAAAAAAAAAAAAAAAAAAGAGTCCTTCAGAGCTGAACTATCATTGAATAATGAACAATCAGTTCAGGGATGGCCTTTTACCTGGATGGGACATTTGTGCCATCTTCTCAGCACAATGCTGTGATTTGGCTGGCTTAAATGCACTGAACTTCTCAATGGCTGTAGATCCAGTAGAAGTTACATTGAAAGTGTGATATTTATAGGGTAGTTTTAGGAGCAGGAGAAGTAATTCCACTGCCAACCTGCACTGAAAACAAGTGTGTATTTGTTTGATAGTTAAAATCCTGTAGCTAGCAAAATCTGGGAGCTCTCTGTAGGTTAGCTGTGGTCTGACTTCATGCACTCTCCCACTTGCTGTCCATGTTTTGCTTTGCTTTTCTTCTGAGAACTAGTAATTCTGTGTGATTAGTAAACTAATGGGTGATGATTGTTTTGTTTAAAAAGGAGCCGCTGTAATGATGCAAACAAAACTTTCCTACATTAGTTTATGATTTCAGCTTAAAAAGTGTGCAGCTTATATATTCATGAATATAACTGGTCTAATCTTTTTACTACTATTATTTATTTAGTAGCAAGATTGGAACATTGGCAGAGAAGGGAAACCTTTGAAAACATAACGTATTGTTTGGTTGTTTTTTTCATTTCCTGAATTTGACCTATATAGAAATGGTTTAGGTCTGCTCCACCTGAAAGTCTATTTTCCAATTATTTTTTTCTTTGTCAAAGAAAAATTTGCTCAGCTCTAGTCATAATGTCCTTGTGCTTACGTGTTACTGTTTCTATATACATTTTGGCATCTGGGTTTGACACAGATTAATAGACCAAAGCAGTCATACCTTCACTCATATGTAACTGATTGATTTCCAATCCCACGTGGATACATTAATTATCATTATTAAGTAGGTTTGAGGATAAGGCATGTATGAAAGTTATTAACATACCTGAATAGGACATCTTAATAGCTGCATGACGGAGGTGTAGGAGAAAGACACCGATCATGTCATGGAAAAAAATGACAGGCTGTTCAATGCTGTGTCTCCATCTGCACGTGCTGCTGCTGTAGCCCTTCCACCGAGCAGCGCTGTTCTGGAGGAGTCCCAGATTTGTTGACCCGACAGCCTGAATTCACTGTTGGCCACAACAAGGATCACGATCAGCCATATCGCCTCCATGTTGCTTCCTAATGAAGGCAAATAAAAAGATCTGTAATGTTTCATTGCTTTGGATAAGAAATAGCCCAGGCTTTTCATTGCCTGCGTAAGTACCCTCTGCTGTGTTCTGCTTTGCTTTCCCCACCCATTTGGTCAAGGTGATCTTCAAATATCTTCTTCTGTTTTGCCTGGTTGATTGGTTTTAAGGTAGGGTAACTTTTTCTAGAATATTCCCAGCAAACACTCAAAACCACACAAAACTAAATGAAAAGGAAGGTCTGAATACTTCAGTATAACACCTTGAGGCAAAGGGGTTGTTTTCATTACAGATTTTTTTCACAGGGCTTTCTGCTGTATTTTCAAACATGTTTGTCAGGAGAAAGAGAGCATTTTGCAGGTGTTCATCACTTCTTTTGCAAAAATAAATGGCGTGACTATTTAGTGAGTGCATCTTCAGAGTATGGTGCCACGCAGCAAAGGTGAATAGGCACAGTAGCCGTGTTCCTATTCTCTGCCACAGTGACTGAAGTATTGTAGAATACAGCTCTGCTAGGGCTTGACAAGGAATTTTCCATCAAGAATACAGTTTAGGGCAAATAATGTGATTAGTTTGTCTGGGTTTCTATTAAAACCTCCCCCCAGCTTTGCTTGTACTTTTATGTATTTCATGTAGAACAATCATTACAAAATAACTGGCAATTCATTGCAGTCTTTAGAAGGGTAGGTCTCCTAATAAATTAAAAAAGGGGGGTATCCATAAAGACTATGAGGAGCAGCACATTCCTGAAACAGATACTTAATGGGATTTCTTATGAATGTAATGGTTAATTTTGTAAATGACTGGATAAATCCTATGGAAAGAAACTATTTGACCTTATTCTTTGGCTTTTTTGATTATTCTGGAAGGTGATTTTGTGACATCTAGTAGCCAATTTGCATTAATTGCTGCTGTAGAGATTTTGAAATGAAAATATTTGTTCCTTGAATTTTAGTTTGTAACAAGGCCGCTATATTTTGTTAAAACTGCTTTGAAGCTTGCTGCACTATAACTTAAAAATAATGTGCTATCATTTGAAATAAGCCAAATGTATATGCTTTTTCATGAATTAGTGAGTGCAGTAAGAGAAAATTCATGATCTTGTCAATAGGAGCTTTTCTGTTTCCATTGTTTGGACTTGGTTTTATATGTGTAAGTTAAAATGGCTAAGTAAGTCTAACAATGTTTTGCTTTAAATGAACAGCATGGTCATTGAATTACAATCTCCTGTAGTTTTGTGGTGTCACTAAAACAGGTTTCATTGGTTTACTTCATTTCTGTGATAATTCCACGTGACTCTGAGTGTCCAGTAATTCATTTCTTTTATTTAGAGCGATGATGGCTATCAAAGAAGGACCAAGTTTTGAAATGGAAATGTGCATGTTAAAGAATGCAAGGCTCAGCAGGAGAATTTGATTGTCATATTTCTCATTCATATCACTTAGTTTCTGATTTTTCCAAGTTATTTATTATTTTTAATATTGTATTTTCCCTTCCATTTTGTTGTAAATAAACTACCAACAATTATTCTTTACAATTGTGGCTGTTTTCTTTTACTAGGTCTCCTCTAGCAAGGAACATACCCATTAGCCTTTCTACCTCCAGCTCTATAAGTCACTTCCTCAAAATTAAATCGCACAAAGAATTGGCTTTGCAAGGAAAATATAAACCACTTACAACATCTACAAAGGTTTTGTTGTGCCTCAGCTTTTTACAGATTTTATCAGGGCAGGTGCACCATCAGTCTGGTGTTAGCCCATTCATTTGTAAATGACCATTTGGCTAAGAAGGAAGTGTTTCAGTAGGGAATGTAAGTCTCTGTGCAGGGTTTGGCAGCCCAGCGTTGTAGTAAATAATACTGGAACAGAGACCACTCAAAACCTCTCAGACTTGTCTACAAGTCATTTAATTTTACTCAACAGAAATTTCACAGGTACAATGATTCTTTAAGTGTTTTAAGTAGAGGCTTACTGCATAGAAATAAAGCTTCCTCTGCACCAGAAAACTGGTAGTCGCATATTCAGTATAGAAATGCTTCAAAACCGCGTAGAACAGGACACAAGGAACAAACATAGACCTAGAAAATATTTGAGGCAGAAACCACGCAGCCCTGCCCAGCCTTGGGTCTGCGGTAACGACTTCTGGGTGGCTTCCGTAAGAGCCCCTTGGGGTCAGCGTGCTGGGGCCGTGCCCTGCGGACAGCCGGACCCCGGCTGAGGCCTTGCCGCCAAAGTGGTCGTGACTGTCCTCCAGGAGCTGGAATGATGGCTGGATTCTCCAGCAGGCAGATACGCCACTGACAAGACCCTGAAATTCCAGTGCTGACAACACGTGCTTCCCAACAGCGGACAACAGCTGGCCCAGTAACACGTCCAACGGTCGGACCTGGCCTGACCTCATCTCTTGGTGGTTTGGTTTGACTCGATGTTTTGTAACAGTTTGGGCTGGTGTTGCTAGGGCTTCATTAAAATTTGCACACAAATAA